GGCCTTTATCTGTCAGCTGCCTCCAAGGTCCCACAGGCTAGCCAAGCCTGATAGGACTCCTTTAGCTTAATAGCTCCCTTCAGCTCTGATGTCTTGCATCTAGTTTGGAGATTACCACCACGAGAGGTACCAGCCACCTTACAATCCGTTCTTCATCTGTGTCCCTAGTCTCTTTTGGAATACTGTCCAAGTTCTCCCAGTCAGAAAGTTAAAGATTTCACAGGCTGGGCCTCTGCCAGGCATTCCCAGCAAACCCTCACTATACGTTTAGGTGTGGCAGAACATCAGACTAGCATTCTCCCACGCTACCTGATGGGTCTGTCTAGCACAAACCCCTATTGCTGGAACGCCAAGACAATTCTACTATGACAGCAAAAGCAAGACGCAAGTCATCAGAGCTCTTTGTGTTACTCGTGCACGAGGGAGAGAACTGTGACGAGCGCTGTTCCTTCCGCTCAAACCCCAGTCGCTCTTGTCTGCTCCCTCGTAGCACTGCTCTTTATTGAGGTTACATGAATATGCATAAGTTCATTAACAAGTGACGTCTTACATAGGCATACATGTGAACAAAGAGTACCTTGTCTGTGTGTACGTATAGGCATGCGTGTGTGTGTGGGGTCAAGATGTGACTCTGTGAAGACTCCCCACACCTGCTGGTGCCAGAGTCCAGCAGTTCACTTAAACATAAGGCTGTTTCACTCAAACAGATATAGGTGTGTTTGCTATACCATATATCAGCAAGAGAAGATACAACCTCTCTCATGACCCTAGGAGGTGGGTGATCTATGCCAGAACACTCTGAAGAGGTGTGAACGTACTCCCCTCTTCACGCTACACAGGGTTGTTACAGACCTAGGATGAGACATTCTTTTAATATGCAATCGATTATAAAACTCTAAGCATATATGAATATATATTTCTAAGCATAAATGACAATCAACAATATAAACCTAACACTACCTGAACCAACTCCCCACCAGGTGTTCATCAGCTCCTCTTCACCTGATTGTCGGGAACATATAGTCGCAGATCTGATGATACAATTACAGACTCAATCATCAATCTGTGACCTAGGGCGTCCTGGTGTCTCGTGCACTTATAAACATCCTAATATTCGAACATTGTTTTCCATATAGACAAACTGTGATTTGCACAGAACTTGACTCGGTTCAGATCAGACAGGCTGTTCCTCCTAATCGTGCCCCTATAGGTCTTTCATCCACTGGCAAGCTGAGGGGACACGAATACCCACCCCTGCCTCCAACCTCATCATGGGCAAGTCTAAGGGAGGAGACTGGTTCCAGAGCCCAAGTCATGTGTTGAGGTGAACCCGACTATATCTCAGCCTCAGACACGAGCTCAGGCTCCTTCCCCGCCAGAGAGGTTACGTTTCATGTCCCCCTGGTCAGCATTAATAGAATTGCCAGGTCTCCGCCCTTGGCTGCTGCAAAACACACATTGTACCCAATTCCTACAGCACCTCCTGAAGGTGGTGGGCCTACAGGAGGGTGGTCTATGTCTTTTCTTTAGGCTGCATCCAGCTGGGTCCCATGGGCTAAGGCACAATCACCAGTTTGCCTTGGAGACCCTATCAGGGGCAAGCACAAAAGCCCCAAACAACACACCCCCTGGGATCACTGGAACACACAAACCCCTCCAACACAGTGAGCTGGCAATTCGACAATGGGCCTGAGCACCATTTAAAGCTCAATTAAACTCTAATTTGAACCTAGGCTGTAGTCTAATATCTTAAATTATTTTGTTAAGTTATTAAGTTTCTGATTTATGTGGGATTTTTCTAATGGTAATAAAGTGCATGTCTAAGTAATCTGTCGATGTGACTAGTTTCATTTATCAGACTGCCTTGCACAGCAGTATGACTTTCTTTCTTTCTTTCCTTACATACCTACATACAAATGCAACTGAGCAAAGTGTGACATTTCACAGCACCACCCTTCCTTCCTTGTTTTAGCTTGCTAGTGTTAAAAACTACACACACTTGTACACATACCTTATGTAATATAAGCTTTCTGTCCAAATAGGGCCCTATTTGAATCAAGTGTTGTGTACAAGCACAGGGGGACTAAATAGCAGATATTGTGTACCAACTGCAGTAAGTGATCAAAGAGTGCTTAAATCTTTTAAGTGACAGCAAGATGATGTTTCCAAAATGTTTAGAACATGTTGTCTGTTTCTTGTTCTACCTTATCATGTCATGTGAAACAAACCTCCCCCTGCTTTCTGGTTGTGTGCACTGTGAACTGCGACAGCATTTTTGGCTGGAGAAGCAATGTTCCCTTATCCACTCGAAGTCTTTTTAGACTGCTCCGACTTCACCGGCCACACTTCCTCTTACCGAATCAAGCTGTCGCTTTTCAATCAAACCGACATGGTGACACATGCGGTCAGGAAACACAATTTCAAGTCATAACAGTGCACAACTGTCTAGACATTAGAGATTTGCTCCAAGAAGTGTTTTCTTCTTCTCCTTCCATCAAAACAGCTCCAGTTCAAAGAAAACTCAAAATGTGACTGACAGCAGCGCTGATTGCACAGAGAAAGGGCGACCGCGGCCAAATAATATGGCAATATTGCAGTCCTGGAGCATTTCTTTTTTTCATTTCAGCAGTCCTGCTCTCCTCTGAAAAATATGTGCATAGATTTGTCGTCTTGAGTGACTTGAAACTCGTGTCTCTATGTCGAGTAAACACCCACAGAGCTCTGGTGGCAAGTCATTACACAGTTCTGCTTCTCAGACAAACAGCTATTACTGTTGTTTCAAACAGGCTCCTCTTCATACAGGAATGTGTGGGGACAGTGTGAAGAGGCAGTTAAGAATCTGTTGCACAAGCAAGGGAGGTGCAAAAAAAAAGGGTTTAAAATAGTTCTAGGTGTTAGCTGCAGAGGGATCAGAGCTGCGAGCTTATTCGTGATGATGCTTCAGTTGGTTTGGGTGAAGAAAAGCCTGTGATAGGTGCATATGGCAGATTCAGAGAACATTGCCCCTGGGTGGTTGGCAGATATGCAGATCTGAGACATCTCACAGACAATCACAAAGGCTGGTGATCTTTATAACTAATGGGGAAGTCAGCTTATGTCTTAATGCAGGCAGTGTCTATCAGTATTCATTATCAAACTCTGGCAGCAGATGATTTTAAGATGCGTCTCACTGGCTTTGGGGACATAACACACAGAAAGTTGTAGGCACATTAGACGCTGACATTCACATCAATCCAAAATTCATTCTGCAGAACTATAATGAGTGAAATTTGTGCCTGAATTTCTCAGTTCCATATACGGAAACAAAAGCACAATTATGATATACAGTACCGTACAAAACTCTTCAACCACCCCTCATTTATTTATAATGGGAAATAGGTGCTGTGCAGTGATTCATTGAAACGTTTGCAACATAGCATATAGGACAAAAACAGAGTTTATACAATTCTAACAAGCTTGAAAGTCAGTACTTGCTATGATCACTATTATTCTTCAACACAGCCTGAACTCTCTTAGCTACGCTTTCTTGTCATGTCTTTAAGGACTCTTCAGACATAATTCTTCAGGCTTCTTGAAGGACATTCAAAGCTCTTCTTTGGATGTTCCTGCTTTTTGTTATGTTCACTGTTGAGATGATCCAACACTCCTTCAATAATAATATGGTTCAGACTTTTGGAAAGACTAATCCATGACACTATCCATGTATGTTTTTACTGCATTAGAAGCGTTTAGAGCAGGGGTCCTCAACTCCAGGCCTCAAGGGTCTTGCAGTTTTTAGATGTGTCCGTGATGTGTCCACCGTGTTTTACAGATGCTATAGACACTTTCTTCATAAGGAGGTGACTTTCATATACTGTTTGTCTGTACTGTTTGTCTGCTGTTTTCTGTGTGTTTTACACCTGCCACTTCTTCTCCTGTCCTCCAGTTGTCAAGCTACCCCTCAAAGTTTTTAAGCACATGGTGAGATATGCCAACTTTTTTGCCTAGTTGTTATTTGTGTATTGCTTTGTTGGTGTAAAAATACTCTTTTATACCTGTCAAACTGTGTTATCACTGTCAAAGGAGCTTGCAAAGAAAAGCGTCTGGACTTCTTTAAGTTACTTGAAGACGTTTCACCTCTCATCCGAGAAGCTTTTCTTTGCAAGCTCCTTTGACTACGATGATCTGGACGACTGAGAACCTTCACAGACATGTGTTATCACTGATATATATTTTTATTCAACTAAAGAAATGGGAACAAATTACATGTTTTGTGACAGACTGCTCTCCATTAGGTACAATTTTTAAAACTACACCTTTGCTGAATTTCTTGTTATGTGTGGACAAAACACTGGTTCATCCCTTAAGTTAATCACCTTTTTTCATGCTTGAATGCTTGTAAGTCAGGGTTAAGTGAACAAAAAAGGGGAAAAAGGTCAGGAACAAGGCCTGAATTCACAAGACTGAAAAACAGCCAGTGTCCAAAGAAAAACTCTGAAATAGTTTCAGAAAGCCTGGAGAACCACTGATCAAGACCACTTTAAAGAATTAGCAGAAACTCAGGCTCCCTGGAAGCCAAACACAAAAAAAGGGACGACCGGCTCAAGACTTTTGCATAGTACTGGATTTCATTCTATACTTTATTGTTATACAGCAAGCACTGTCTGGTTTTTTAAAATGCGCTAAAAAAAACAAAACAAAACACGTGAATATAAATTTACTGTGATATTACGGCAATTCCTCATCTGGGAGACATGAAAGTTGACGTCGTTACGAGAAACCTCCGCGTGCCCCTTTTCCAAGAAACAAAAACGGATCATCTGATGTCACTAATACATGTCTCCAGGCTTCAGGTGGGTACGGCCAGCGTCGGTCTGGCTGAACCAAACCATATATCAAACAGCTGAATTTCCCCATTGGCCCCCGTGCGTGTGCGAGAGCGCGTGAGTGCGCGCGCCTGCGTGCGCGCGTGCCAACCACGGAGAACTTATTATGTAAGATGTTCCCAGTCGCATCTCTGCCTGCAAGTGTGAGGCATGAGGTCGCTTTAAGAGACATCTCAGCTCCTACCAGTGGTCCTGGCAGGACACCACCTACCTCCTCCTCGACCACAAACTCTCAGCTTTGTCTCACTTGATGCACAGCGGCGCGAAGAAGTCCTGGAAGAAATAAGACTCGGTAAGAAACGGTGGCTAATTAGTGTGCCATTTTCTCTGGCTTCTAACTCTTGCAGGTGGCGATGGGAGTGAGTAATTAAAATTCCCAGGACGGTTATTTATTTTTCATCATATGCTAAAAGAAAGCTCTAATGACCTTTTTCTAGGTGATGGCTCTCTGTAGGCTCGTGCGTTCTTGCGCGTAGTTTTTAATAACCTGATCGCTCGCGCTGGGATTGTCGATTCCCGTCGCTTGTCGGTCTCCCCAGTCCAGTGGGATTTCCTTCCTTCCCTCGAAATATTTGCCCCCCTGGTCAGACTGATCTCCAAAATGACATGCTTAAAGTCTAAGTGGAGCTTTATATTGGACATTTACCGGTTTGTGATGTGGAAATGATTGACGAGTCTCCCCCCCCGGACAGAAAAGCAGTTGGCACCTACCAACAGAGGTCTCCTTCACCTGTCCGGAGCTGAGAAAGTCCGCCCAAGTGCGAGCAGACGCACAGCTGCAGAGAGACAGTGGATCCGGGACAGAGCTACAAAGACCGAGGGCGCGCGCACACAATCATACTATCATACTTTTCATTGATTTATGCGTTTCAGCCTCTGTAATAATTCATGTGCTGACTTTGTGTCTTGGCAAAGTTGTTTGGTTTGGTGACAGAGCAGGGATAACAACACTGGGTGGGGGGAATCTACATTTTGCATTCATCTCTATTTCGAGATAAATCCCCACGAGATATAATTTCTCCTTCTGTGTGGTTTTTTTTTTTTCCCCTGCAGTGACTTCACACATTCCTCCCATTCAGACTATTTTTATTGTTTCCCCACCCAGCAGGTTTCCTACTTGTGTGTAATCTGGAAATAATCGGTATAATTTACACATTAAGGATGAAATCTAATGTCAGCTTTTAGCAAAATTTCTCGTTACTTTTGCTTCTACTCCTCCGCCTGCAGACACCGCACAATGGGAAGCACTGCATCGCTTCACAAGTCCAAATTCTGTCATAAATATTCTGCATCAAGGCTCTGAAGGATGGGTCTTGGCTACATGTCCGCCATATGCGTTGAAACAGAGTCAGACTAAGTTTGGCACCCAGAAAAAGATTGTGTACCACAAATGAATTCAAGTCATTTTAGCCTCCAAGTTCAAGTATATACCTGAGTTATTCTGGTTCTATCTGTGTACCGCAGACGAAGCGACACATTCTAATAGGACATCAGGGCTCATTATCGAGACAGCCACGAGCAATTAATGTCCTACCTGTCAACATTTATCATTGTTAAGGAGTGCTCAATTAAAATGATAAATACTTTCCATCCTTTGGTGATTTAATCCTGTCAGCATGTTTGCAAAATTATTTTCTAGGGAACTGAGCTGTGGGCAAACATCTCAGTTAATCAGGGCTCTTTTTACTGCTGTGCATATGCACTTACAATAATTATACACATGCGGATACACACACTACTCAGAAGTCCTTGGCCTTGGTGGAGTGGAATTGTATTTCTGCTGTTTTCCAGTGCAGCCGTTTCTCGGGAACTGTAAGGACTGTGAGGCTTCTGTGAATGTCCAGTGACGATGAAAGCTGTTACGGACAGAATAAATTCCCATCACTTGATAAGAGTGATTGGAGGGTGGGTTATTGTTTCTGAAGGAGCAGTCATTATCACTGTTATTGTGATGGAAATTTGAAGCAGCATGCCATTACAGCGACGCCGCAAAAACCTAGATCTGTGCTTTTTCTCTTATGATATTCCATCAGTGCATCATTTATTCTCATTGCGTGCTTGCAAAGATTTATAATTTTAAAAAAAGTGGGGGTCTGTGTTCTGCTCGTGATATCTGCATAGCGAGATTAATTATCCCCTTCATCAGTTTCTGTTTTTGTTATATGGAAACTACCTCTGCTGCGTGCGAAGTTGAATCTCCAATACTGAACACACTCTTTTAAAAAGACACTTGTGGAATGGCATCCTGATGCGCTGCACATTTTAAAATCCTATCCTGCAGCATGGCAATCAGTTCTAATGGGTAAAATGAGCTTTTTAGCGAGCGAAGGTCAATTTCCTGTCATGCTGGTGTGTTTGTGGTTGCTACATTTAAATTTGAGCAATAAACCGAAGTCTTTATTTCTTAAAATTCCATTACTGTGAAAATAAAAAAAAACTCCAATGATGGAAAATTTTGTTAAAGGTTGCACATTTCTTTTTCTGTTTTCTTTTTTCCAGGCCACAAAGGAAGACTGCTTTAAAGACTGGCTGAGCTTAAGGATTAGGGAAAACTCTTATATCATTCATAAAATAATTACAGCAGGTGCTGCAAAACAATCTGGTTCGATTGGTCCTCTGTGTTCGAAGCGAGCCTGGGAAAACTATTGCCATGGAGCTGCAGCACAGCACCAATCACAACCAAGCCTCGTGGAATTCGACCGAGGACTGCTTGCTGTCGGTGAGTGGCACCACGTTACTCATCATTGCTTACAGTACAGTCATGGCAGTGGGGCTCATTGGAAACTCCTGCCTGGTGTTTGTCATCACACGGCACAAAGAGATGCACAACGTGACCAACATCTTCATTGTCAATCTGTCCTGCTCAGACATTCTCACGTGCATTATATGCCTGCCGGTCACTATTATCTACACACTGATGGACCACTGGATCTTAGGAGAGACCCTCTGCAAGCTCACACCTTTCATCCAGTGTATATCAGTCACTGTCTCCATCTTCTCCCTCGTTCTGATCGCCATGGAGCGCTACCAGCTTATCGTCCACCCGACAGGATGGAAACCCATGGTAGCCCACTCCTACCTGGCTGTGGCTATCACCTGGATTGTGGCCTGCATAATCTCAGTGCCTTTGCTTTCCTACAACGTACTCATTTTGCCTTTTCAGAACTTCAGCACTCCACTCCCAATAAATGACAACTTTATTTGCATGGAGCAGTGGCCGTCAGTTAAGGAACGGCGAGCTTACTTCACCTCCCTGCTCGTCTTTCAGTACTTCCTCCCGCTTATCCTCATCATGGTTTGCTACCTGCATGTCTACCTTCGCCTGAGGAGGAGGAAGGACATGGTGGACCGCAGCAGGAACACCGCTCAGAAAAAGAACAAGGGCTCCACGAGGATAAATGCCATGTTAGTCGCCATAGTCGTGGCTTTCGCCCTCTCCTGGCTCCCGCTCAACGTCTTCAACACGGTGTTTGACTGGCACCACGAGCTCATCCCGTCTTGCAGCCATGACATCATCTTCTCGCTGTGCCACCTCACTGCCATGATCTCCACCTGCGTCAACCCGATCATCTACGGTTTCCTCAACAGCAATTTCCAGAAACAGCTCAAGTCCACGCTGCTGCGCTGCCGCTGCTGGGCCGTGGTGGAGAGGTACGAGAGCGTGCCGCTCTCCACCGTCAGCACAGAGGTCACCAAGGGGTCGATTTTGAGCAACGGCTCTGTCAGCAACAATACGTAAATCCATACTTTTTTTCTTTTTTTTTTTTTTTTTTTAACTGAAAGACAAAGAAAGCAGCTGGTGCTCTTCAGCCTTTATTGTGTCACTCTCCAGAGATTTTCTTTCTTTCTTGGTTTGACATTTGCAAAAGGTAGACTCTTCAGGACGGCAGTCCAGAAGGAGCAGGCTGAAGAGCCCTAAGCAGGATGGCAGGTTGTCCTCCAATCAGTATGAGTCCACATGTAAGAGGAAAGAGAACGCAGTGATGGTGCAAAGGTTGGACAGGTTTACAGGATATTTACAGTATGTATAGTCTTTTCCCCCACGTGCTGTCGCATATAAAAAAGAGGAGATGCCTTTTTACTCTGTTACACCATGTTTTCTCTCTGCAATGATCTGCTTGGAAATCATGTTTAAATGCATATTAGCACCCCAAGAGAGTGCTGGAAGGACAAAAAAGCAGGTGGGTCGTGGAGCAGCAAATGTTTTTATTTTTATTTTATTTTTTATTTTTTTATCTGGTGTTAATAGTGATGACGAAAACATCGAGGGGTTGTGAACTGCAACATGTAAATGATTATCAACAGAGTAGCTTAGAATACAACCAAAGGAGGGAACATTTGTGCATTAGATGTAGCTCTAGGCGGAGGACTTACCGGCATCATTTTAATGCATTTCTTATTACCTAAACCCGCCACCGTTGTCGCTTTAATGGTCTTTTGCAGAGAACCTTGGCAAAAGATGAATGCATTTCATGCTGTTTGACACGTCCATGCTCCCGTGTGTGTGTGTGTGTATATAATACAGATGTGTAGGGGGGTCATAAAATGTGCGACACAGCCACCATTTCTCAATCGCAATAAAACAAAATAGAAGTGGCAGTAAAGGACAAGAGCGGGCTCCTTCCATTGTATATAAGATAAAGCACAGTTTTAGCGTGTGGTGTGCAATAAAAAGCACTGTGTAGCATAGCAGTATAGAAAGTATCTCTAGGAAATGTGTTGTAATATTTGCTTCATATTTAGCTCTTGTACTGACTTTTTTTTTTTTTTTAAACTCTTTTCTTTGTTTCTGCCTTGCTTTACATGCTGGTTTGAAGCTGTCATCTTGCAGGTCAAGTTACCCAGGAAAGTAAATGCTACCCTTTGACCAGAAGGCTGGTCATTTAGCGCTGGTTTGATATATTTTTTTGTGTTATATAGTGTACATGGGGGGGGACCCTCCAAACCCTTCAACTTCTAAATATTAAATATTTCAAACTCTTTGTTTCTTTCTGAGGTCAAATTCTGTGTGCTGCCTCAGTGTGCATTATTTAGAAGGGGGAAGTCTGAGATCACAACACATTTTAGATGCGCTCGTAGTGTTGAATAAATCAGTGTTGTGTTTGGTGCAATAGATGTTAAACAGCACGGGAAGGGGAGGAAAGTGTATGAGAGATCAATGGGAATTAGTGCTGAATATTCATATTCGGGGAATGCCTGCTAACGCTCATGCTTCGTCCTGTCTGAAAGGGAGATCAAAGACCAACTGCGAGAGATTTTTTTATTTTTTTATTTTTTATTTTATATTTATTTTATTTTTGCTGCCAGGTGCCTTGTAGCTTTTATGATATTTCAGGAGGTCGAGTGTAAGATGTTTTCACACTTTACAAAGACCCAAACCTGTTCACCTGCCATGCTGTTTTCCAAAAGGCAGCTTAGCCCTGAAGAGAGCTCTCAGGTCCTTGTCAGCATAATTGACTGCATGCTTCTGCTGGCCTGTGCTGCCCTTTGCTGACTTCCAATCCCCTCTCCTTTCCCATATTTCACTCCTCTAGTCTGTTTCCTTTCAGAACACCAGCCGAGTGAAGCAGAAGTGTTCATTCCCCCCGCCCTTGCAATAAAGGACCCAAGATGCCAGAGGTAGTTGCAAACTCCAGTGGCACTTGACAACGAGTGGAACCTAAATTAGCCCCCCCCCTTTTTTTTATTTTTTATTACATTGTTACCAATTGTAACCCAGTCTACAAGCACATTACTGCACTACGAAATGAAGCTCAGCTGGAGACAAATACTTAATGAGTCCACAGGGCCAGTCTCTCCTTGTCAGTCGAGCTGTTCCAGGAAGACTGGGATCTTGGCTCTGTGCATTTTAATTTAGAGAGATTCTCTTCTTTTTTTTTTTCTTTTTTTCTTTTTTTTTTTTAAAGGGAAAAAAAGAAAAAATCTCTCCAGATCACAGGAACAACATGAACTAGTTGGCCAGAGATTTGCTCAAGCTGTTGTTTTGAGCATTTCAATTCTCCTCAGTCATATTCTTGCTTTCCTTTCAACAGTGAGAATGATGTATAATTCATCTTGCTTTACCTTGTGTCAATATTCATAGCAAGAGGATCAATATTACAGTGGAAACCTGAGGGGTTTGTGCTGCCTGTGCCAAAGGATTTGTGAAGAATTACAATATAGATGTGCTACAGAATGATTTTTCAGCTTGTACTCTTTGCTGCAATCTCATGAGACAAAGTCAATGGCACCTCTGATCCCGGCTGAGAAAGAACTAATCTTTAGACTTTGGCAGATGAAAAGGTCAAAGGAAGACCAGCTGCTGATTTTCGAATCCCAGTCCTGGTGTTATGCAAATACAGACATCCGTTAGACATGTAGGTTGTTCATTTACAGGTCAAACACATAGATCGGCTAGGTCAATATTTTCTTGTTCCCTTATCATTCTGCTGAATTGCCCTAATGGTCCTCCCACATTGTGTTCATCAGATCTTGCAGGGAAGCGTTATCGTGACAGTGTTCAGTTTCATCTGCTGATTAGCAGATGAAACTGAACAAACACCATGACAGTGAGAATACATGACCACCTCCAGAATACAATTCTGCGTGTCTCCGGTATTAAAATACATCTGGAAATTTTTATTTTCTTTGTAGACTGCAAGATATTTCTTGCCTTCATTTACCTATGTGTCTTCTGAACTATTCAAAATAACACACACACAGTTGCTTCTTGCATAATGCAAGCAGACTTGACAGCTTGGAATAGCAACTCCCTGATTGGTGTCGGCCAGGTTGTACTCACGATTTTCTGTTGCGTGCATGAAAAGATAGATAGATAGGGTCTTGGCCTCTGCGTCCGGCCTTCCATTTTCTTTGAGGAAAAGACCACAGCCTCTTTTAGTTGCCTGGTTACAGCTTCCTCGGGGTATTCAATGGGTCTCCTTCAAGCTGACACAGAGCACCAAGCTATTAAAGTCACTTTATTAAACACTGACAGAGGAGCTGCACAAGGCGGAAGCAGTTCAGTGGACCCATGTCAGCCAAACAGTCCTACGTAAGACATGATTGCTGAGGATGCTTGATGACGCACAGCAACTTTCCTTTTGACTTGCACTGGCTTGTGATAGTTACTTCACAGCAAACAGTATTTTTTTTTTCTTAAAAGAGCATTTCTGGAAGTTGTAGCAGGGAAAGCACAGGCGTGTGTAGCTACATTCATATTGGCAGTATGTCATTTGCCTGTGTCAAGGCCAGTTAATATTGCATGGTTTATTGCAAGGACACCAGGAGGAAAGGCTTTATTAAAGGAACATTTTCATATTTGGGCAAAGACACAAGAGTCAGGTTGGAAATTTCATTGCAATTCTCACGCCTGAAAAGCAAATATGAGATGGAGCCAGGAGCTGAAGACACTTTAAAATCTGATCCAGATCACCAGAGACAAAACCTTTTTGTTTCTGCTTCACAGTCAGATCACATATTAGCCATGGGTTTGGTTTTGTTTCTGCTATTTTAAATCCCTTTATTATTATTATTTTTCCAAGAATGGATGATATTGAAGAGTTAATGTGCGTTCACAGACCATTCAGCTGGGGGAACAGTGCACCCTGGAGTAGCGCACTCCCAGCAGACAATATATAAGACCACCTGCAGAAGCTGTTTATAGCTTAAAGACTAGAACATTTAGGTCCTGTTCAAGATTGCCTGAAGTATAAAAATGACCTTTGCACAGAGTCAAGTCTTTTCCAGCCTTTATATAAAAATATAGCAGATAAAACAGAGTTAGTTTCTTTTCTAACTCTTTCCAAGGTTTTTTTTTAAAAAAAAGAAAGCTTACTTCACTGTAATTTCTTCGCAATACACTTTCTCTTTAGTTTCACACATAAAATTGGTCTCCAGATTCAAAGCCTACAGAGTCTGCCAGCTCCATGACTAAGGCCCCTGTTCTCTCTTATTAGTTCATCTATTCTCAGGCTGGTCTCAGTGAGACTAATTACAAGTAACCTGGTGGACCTCACAGCTGGTGGGGGGTCCATGCTCAGCAGCAAGGAGCTCGTTTCCTTGTACAGTGTGATTTAAAATCTGCTGCTGATGTTCCTCTTGAGGGAAGCAACAAGAATAATAATAACAGAAGTTTCTTATAGTCAGTAATGTTTGACATTTCAAATGGAGGGTGGTTACTGTACACGAGGGCATTGATCTCCGGTCAATATTTCATGTCCTGCTGCGCTGTTGCGTTTCATAGATGATTCAGCCCTTATCAAAGCTCTTTAAATAAAGGACAATACTTGACCCATGTGGTGTGGACTGTATGCTCAACCAAAGTAGCAGCAATCTCATCAGTAACTACGGAGACGATTTTCTGTCGTTCGTGTGTGTGTGTGTGTGTGTGTGTGTGTGTGCCCCAGTAACACCAGAGTGACAGACAGATTGAACTACTGTGAGAAAAAACAAAAAACACTTTCCATTGAAGATAAGAGTGCGGCAGCCCCACTCGCTCTTCAGCAGGATATTACAGGCTGCTGTATGGATGTCAAATCGTCGTGATGAATAAACTTCGATTTCTTGTGCAGTTTGTTTAAAATTCGAAGCACACATTGGCCCGGCTGAATAATTGTGCTTATCAAACCATAAATAAGCACTTTTATAATGCAGAGGAGATTGCGGAGTGCACATGAAATGGACCGAGCGAGCAATGAGCTGTTGCGATACAGTAAATTGGCTTCGGGCACATGTCCTGTTGGAAAGCAAACACAGTAATGTACAGTAAATGTCATTAAATGGTGCTCTTGACGGGATCCGGTGCAGTAGGGAGGGGGCGGCAGTGGCGGTCCTAGCCTGTTTGGCGCCCCAGGCAAATAGGGTTTATTTCTGGGATTTCACACAACCCAGGATTCAAATCATGAATAGATAATGGGCTTGGATTTACAACATTATGAATGCAATGTGCTCTATTTGGAAGCAGCAGGTCTCCCTCCCCTTTCGACTGGTTGTGTGTGAGACTTTAAATCATCAAACTGTAAATTATAAATTTTCAATTGTTATTGATCCCTTTACCCCGAGTCCTAAAGTGTAGGGGAGACCGGGGATAGTTGTAACATTTTTGACATTTCTGTCTGTAAATTGGAGCTCTTTTAAGGTAGTGGATTCAAAATGTAATGCAAAGTATTTACATGTCTCTGCTATTAAATAGTGCAGCTATTTTCTCTGCA